CTTTACTTTTTACTATAAAGATACTTTTTACTATAAAATTTTAAGATTGATTTGGCAAGTTCCACAAAAAGCCCTTGTTAATTTTTTCTTGGAATTGCATTGAATTTATAGATTAACTTGGGGGAAAATGATTTATGATTTAACTTAACATTCGTGAACCTAGAATCTCCACTGATTTGGGTCTTTTATTGTTTTCCAATAAAGTTTGTGGTTTTCTTCAAAAAGGTCTTGTACATCTTTTGTCAGATTTGTCCTAGGTACTTTATTTTTGCAGGTGTCCAGAATGGGGTCTTTATTTTATTTTATTATTTTTAACACTATTTTATTTTATTTTTTAAATTAATTAATTTTTTATAATTTACATCCAGATTAGCATATAGTGCAACAGTGATTTCAGGACTAGATTCCTTAGTGCCCCTTACCCATTTAGCCCATCTCCCCTCCCACAACCCCTCCAGCAACCCTCTGTTGTCTGTATTTAAAAGTCTCTTATGTTTTGTCCCCCTCCCTGTTTTTATATTATTTTTCTTTCCCTTCCTTTATGTTCATCTGTTTTGTATCTTAAATTCCTCGTATGAGTGAAGTCATGTGATATTTGTCTTTCTCTGGCTAATTTCGCTTAGCATAATACCCTCCAGTTCCATCCATGTAGTTGCAAATGGTGGGATCTTTATTTTAAAGATGACGTATTCTGATTAGAAAACTGAAAGATAGCTCTGAAGTCTTGCTTAAATTGAGGTCAGTCTTTTCCTTTTTTTTAAGGTTTTCCTGTGGGTGATGGCGCGTGCCTCCCGCCATCCCGCACGAACTGCACCCGAGTGGTCCAGATGCTGGCACCTGATCCCTCCCACCATGCAGGTTCCCGTCAACCTTTTAGTTAAAAGTTCCCATCCCTTGGCCTTTCTCTGAATCTGATCTGCGTTTACAAAATGGCGACTGTAGTTCCTGCCACTTTCATCAGCTAAAATTCTGCAGTGATACATTTTTAGCGTGCATATTTGACGTCAGGAAAACAAGGGTAATCAGTACTCCTGCTCGGCTCCTGAATGACACTAAGACGTGAGGACTGATGCCCATCAGTTCTTCCCACCTACTGCATTGTTATTGCCTGGTAGTTTTTACTTTATCTTGTTTTAACACCTCCCGCACCTTCCACGTGTTCCTCTAGGTGCTTTTCTCTAGATGTGGTTGCTTCACATGACCACGCATACAACTTAAATATTGTGTCTGTAATCAAATAGCGGTGTGTTTCTGGGGGTGGGGGACGCTGCACCCGATGTATGGTAGGTCTTCGCCAGCCCAGTCCTGGGTGGCCCAAACACCTGACCACACAGGCCATGGGCCAATGTTACAGATACTGTTTACTAAATCTTGGGGTGGCGCACTCTGGCCGGAAGTCCCCCGTGTTCAGCCCATTGCACGGGGTGTCCACTGCGGTGGGCCCTGACCCATTTACCATCCCTGGATGGCTGCAGCGTCGCAGGGGACCTGCTTGTGCCAGTGGCGGGGGGGCTCTTTCATCACTGATTCTCGTGACAGGCAAGTCCTTCATTAAGCCAGCAGTGCATTAGGGGAAAACACTATTTCTGTCCGATGGGTGGGCGACCACTTGCTGGTGAAGGTGGTTACAGGCTCAGGGGCTGGGCTGAGCCCTGAATCGGAAGATCTGTTTTCTTATCTCGATAGGACTTTCTGGAGCTTGCCCCACGTACGAACTGGAAGATGAGAATGTGAAAGTGGACACTGTTTCATTTAGGGCTCAGTAACGCTGGCAGTCGACCGTCAGCAGCAGGAGGAGGTTCTCAAATCCAAGAGGTCGGAGGCCCGGAAGTGGAGGAGGTTTCACTGCGAAAGGTGCCAGTCAACGGCGCCATGACACCTGTAGTTCCCTGCGGTCTGAGGGGCCCGAGGCTCTAGGGCGGGGCATCTTCTCCCGCCTGAATGGCTTCCAAGATGTCACTGTTCGGGCCCTCGCTCCGGTGGACACATGTCTGATGACTCGGGGTGGGGGCTGCGGGAACATCCCCAGGTTTGGAGGGACGGCCCCCGACAGCCAGTATGCGCAGCGGCCGGTCCTGGTGCGGGGCCGCTTTCGTAGTGGCGGCTACGTTTGTCCTAACGTGACCGGGAAACAGCTCCCCGAGTCGTGACACGGCTTCCAAGATGGTCGCGCGGAAGGCCGGACACTTGCATTCTCATTTACGGTCCTCATTTACGGTCCCGTCTGTCTCGCGTCAGCTGTGCTTGGGTGGCACGTGATGAGGCAAGAGCAGTTTTCTCCGTGGAGCCATTACGGAAGAGCTTGCGTCACCACCCGGAGTTCACGTGATACTGGCCGTGTCCGATACGCTGATGCTCGATCGCCGGCGAATCCAGAGCGATAAAAATGTACGCTCCACACCCCTGCCCCCACCCCTAGAAAGGCGATCTAAAAACAGTGTTAGCAACACCCGAGGCCGCAAACCAAGAGCCAGACACGAAGGCAGCAACACATTCATGCGCTTTGATGATGTAGGGCACTGGACATGGACGTGACCACGTTCTTTAAGCTTCCCTGCTCTACAGTAACGCCAGCTGCCGGTGGCCGGCAGGGGTGTTCAACTTGAAGCTTTGAAGCTTTGCACGGCACCCCTGGCTCTGTGAAACCTTGCGGGAGAAGACAATGTACCTTTTCTGCTCCCAGGAAAGGGCATTGTTTCCGTTGTTAATGCTTGGCAAGCTTTATGGGTAAACGCCCTTTTTGGCTTGGCCTCTGCCTTATATGAGCCACCCAAAGGGGTCGCAGTGTGTGCATCCTGCGAGCAGTTTGTTGCAAAAGAGCAGGGAGCAGAGTCCAGACCGAAAAACAAACGTAACGCCCACAAAGCCACACGACTACAGCCAGTATCTAATAAATTTAGAAATATGTGGGGCTTCCTCGGGGTGGGGCTGAATCTGGAGACCCGGTCTCGTACCCGATTCTTGCCCCTCCTTGTCCTGCCGCTAATTAGTGCAGTGCGGGTGCTATTAGCTCAGATGAAGGTCTTGGCTCCACAGGAGCTGTGAAATCCACTCCAGGTTTCGCTTCTGTTTGTGCACCCTCACAGCCCCTAGCCGGTCTAGCCCCGCCTGGACCTTTAATTCTGTGGGTCCCTGAGCTTTTAATCCTACAATATACGCATATGTGCAGGGGTTTTTTTCTGGGCTTTTTTTCCGTGGCATTTAGTGGCCTCATTATCCAGGATTTTTATTTTGTAGGAAATCCACGGATTGTTCAAATGAATTGCGTGGTTGAGAATTTTAGTGGCTTCCTGCCCCATCCACCCCTCGGGGCCTTACTGGTCTTTCCCTTTCTAGGCCCCTGGCCATTCACCTGTCCCCAAGGCTGTATATTTTCTCATTGGGCCACTTCCACCAAAGTAGATGATCAGATGCCTTGCACAGGGCTTTGGCCATTGGAGTTACCTCCCTATTCCCCCTCACTCCTGTCTTCCAAAGCCAGCCCTGAGTAAGGCTATTCATGCAGCCACCACATATTTCCTGCCTGTACCCACATATCCTTCCGAACCATCTGGACTGAAGATGAGAAGGAGATCGCTGATACAGGATGTGTTACTGAGTTGGTCACCACTGTGTGACTGTTCCCTTGGTCCCACGGAACTGTCCCTGGAGAAGTGGTGTAAAACTTGCCTTAGGACAGTTTGTCCCAGGAGAGAACAGATGTATCCACTGACTCCTGTGTCCCATTGGCCAGTGTTCCACCCCAGGGCAGGAAGTCTCCTGCACTCGCCGGACGCACATGTGTGGGTGCTGGGTGGGTCCCTGGGCAGCATCCACAGGACAGTCAAGAGGCGCCAGTGGAGGCCTGGAGCACAGCTGTGTGGTTACAGTGTCATGAAGTTGTCACAGCCCTTGCAGGACCGGCACTGCAGTGGTGGCTGGCTGAAGAGAGATGTGAGGCCCACATTACATACAGCATGGTGACCGTTTCAATTAATTACAGATAACTACCAGACTTCTATGCACTTTCTAGGCAACCCATGTAACTGCCGTAGAGCTACATATTAAGAAAAGCAAAGATGCGGTGGATGGAAGGATCTGGAGGTTGTGCTGGGAGAGGAGAGACGGGAGGGGTGAGGCAAGGGGAAGCACACAGTCACAAAGGTTGGTTAAATGCCGCGCTGCGCCCCGCTGCCACAAGAGGGCGCGCGCTGCTAGGCGAGGGCGCGCAGGGCGGCCACCTGCTCATCAGGGTTTTGTTTTCGCAGAAGAAAAGTTGAGGCCAGCTGCGACCGGTGGCAGCGCGCCAGCAGGCGACTCTGCCGGCAGGGGACCCCGGGGAGGGCCCCCGCCCCGCGCACTAGCTTGGGGTTTCGGGAGGAAGCAGGTGCTGGCCCGAGAAGCCTCCGCGCGCTCCGGCCTCAGCCCTGACTTCCTGCTGCCAGACCACCCTCTTTCCCGTCCCCAGAACCACCAGGTCAGGTAGGGTCGCAAACCGAGGGCTCGCGGGCTGCACAAAGCCTCGGCACGCATTTGGCTCGGCCTGAAGTGTATCTTTTAAAAGTTTATTTGGCAACCTTTATTTTTTTATTATTACTAGTTTTTAATGTTTTTATTTATTTTTGAGACAGAGTGTGGGCAGGGGAGGGGCATAGAGAGAGGGAGACACAGAATCTGAAGCAGGCTCCTGGCTCCGAGCTGTCAGCACAGAGCCCGATGCCGGGCTTGAACTCACAGACTGTGAGATCATGACCTGAGCTGAAGTCAAACGCTCAACTGACTGAGCCACCCAGGCGCCCCTATTTGGCAACTTTTAAAACTCATATGTTTAGCCTAAAAATTCTCTCCGACACTTGGAGCATCTGGCAGCCCTGGGCTGCCCTCCATATGCACCCCTGCCCTCGCAATGAGTTTTTAATAGTTTGGGTCAGGTCGATATTCAGCATCACCATTATTCTGGCTGTTACTGCTCTACAGAACTGAGCCAAAGGGCACCCTTCACACCGCGATGTTACCTTTTTTGCACAACTCTGCATGGAGCTTATCCTGGTCTTTCTCATTTGCATAATTTTCATATACACAGAAAATGACAATAAAACCCCAAAAAGCCACCGGTTGCCTCATTCGCCTTACAAGGTCCACAGGCTCCAGTTACTCGCCCGCTGGTCTTCATGAGAAAGCCACTCAGTGGCTGCCTCCAACCTGGGTGCATTGCTCTGGCCCGGCAGCTTCCTTCCTGTCAGGGACTTCTGAACGTGTTATTTTTAAGCAGAGAAACCCACTTTTTCAATCTAGATCATATGAAACTCTATTATATAAAACAGGAAATATGATGTTAACACGAATGATCAATTTACAACATTTACTTATTATAAAGTCAGTCCATAATGGGGTACCTGGGTGGCTCAGTTGGGTAAGCGTCATGATCTTCCGCTCAGGTCGTGAATCTCACGGTTCGTGGGTTCGAGCCCCAGGTCAGGCTCTGTGCCGACAGCTCGGAGCCTGGAGCCTGCTTCAGATTCTGTGTCTCCCTTTCTCTCTGCCCCTCCCCTGCTCGCGCTCTGTCTCTCTCTCAAAAATAAGTAAACATTAAAAAAAAGTTTATGTGTAACATAGAACTTAACCACTTTCACAACTTTTAGGTGCAGCTCATTGGCATTACATTTATGCTGTGCAGCCACCACCACATCTTCCCGCTTGAAAGCTGTACCCATTAGACACGAACTCCCCATTCCCCGCCAGCCCCCCACTCCGGCAACCATCCTTCTTTCAGCCTCTGAATTTTAACTACTCTAGGAATCTCCTGGAAATGGAATCACACAGCATTTGTCCTTCTGGCTTATTTCACTCGGCACAATGTCTTCGGGGTTCATCTATGCTGTAGTAGGTACCAGAAGTTCCCTCTTTTTCTAAGGCCACTTGTGCTGCTCGTGAGTAGTGCTTTATTAGGTCTTGTGTGAACAGTACTGGCTTCCACCCTTAACATCCATTTACTCTGAAAATATGCAAATCTTGAGGGGCCAGGGTCTTCTGCATCCTTTAGTGTTCTCATCTCTGGGGAGGTGGGAGGGGGAAGGGGGAGGGGGGCCCGGGGTGCATCAAGTGATTTCCCATGAGCTTTGTGGGCCCTGTCACGTGACTGCTGGTTTGCAGCTTTCTCGTCCAATAAGAAATTGGCCAAGTCAATATTTTTATTACAAAACACATGCACACACGCCCCCCTCCACACATGCCCCCACACACACTCACAGTGGTAATTAAGATTGAGGCCTGCAACACGGGCTGACCACACAGTGCTTCTGCAGGCCCGCCTCACTTAAGAAAGAGGGTCTGGTCTCAAGAGGGGCTTCTTCCCAAGCTGGATAAATTAGGAGATGGCTTTGTTTTTTTCGTTAATTTTTTAAAATATTTATTTATTTTTGAGAAAGAAACAGAGCGTGAGCAGGGAGGGCAGAGAGAGAGGGAGATTCAGAATCCGAAGCAGGTTCCAGGCTCCGAGCTGTCAGCACAGAGCCTGACACGGGGCTCGAACTTTTGAACCATGAAATCATGACCTGGGCCGAAGTGGGAAACTTAACCGACTGAGCCACCCTGGTGTCCCAGAGAGAGCTTTGTTTCTATAAGAGGACTTAAGGCAGCTTCATCCCCCTGAGGAATGTGGAGTAGAAGCAGATTTAGGCAGGAGTATTCAGAAACCACCCCCGCTGTGGTAGGTAAGTGGGGTCATCAGTCCCTGAGACGGTTGGTTCTAAGAGCAGGAGGAAGAGACCAGATTTCCCTGGAGGCTGCTTTCGTTCCCAGGCGGCGAGGACTATTCTCCAAGGAAGACCAGAAAGGCTGAGAGCGGCTCAGGAGCCCAGGAGGACGCCGAGGGCCCCTCTTGTGCCCAGCAGTGTGGGCAGGGCTTTGGCACAGGAGCAGAGGTTCAGAAGCCCGTCCTGGGTGCCGGCCCCCCGACGCTCCCG